GACTCCTCAAGTTCCCCACACGACTAAGGACAGACAGACGGGCAGACACACACACACACCCTTCATTCAATCTCCACTGACTTCCCATCACCCAGCAACCCACCGCGGCAGAACTAAAACCAGCTCAGAAAAAAGCTAATTAATGTTATTTTCCTCCTGTTGTGAAAAGAGGAGTATCACGTTTCCTCTTAGAATATGGCCTTGAAATGTTAAAGACTTAACCATATGGAAGAGTTCTGAAAGTGTATAAGAAAAGGCTAAAGATTTGGAATCCTAATTCAATTTCCCCTCACATTTTAATAGGAGCCTGTAGCAAACATTTATTTTTAGAGACGTTCTTGGTAGGGGCTGAACAAAGGGCTATTGTGTGTTAAACACGGGGAGGTCTCTCTCGTCCCATCTATCCGAGCTTTTTAAACATCAGGTTGGAATTAAATGATTTTAAACTTTAAATCAACTATTTCCAGACCACAGACTCTATTCCACACTTATCAGTCAATGTAAGTTCTCCAAGGGAGTCATAACAGAGTTCAAATGTGAAGTCTTCATCTTCCAAGTGCCAATAAAGGAACTTTCCTTTGGACTTTGCCTATATGCACTGACTTGTAAAAAAAAGGCCATAGAAGTTTTCATTTCCTTCTCCAACAGAAATTTTCATCTGCATTTGATCAATCCGACTCGGCATCATCACTGATGAAAAGCACATGGGTATCAGTCATATCATTCTCTATTATGTTCTTATTAAACAGGAATTACAACCTTTTCTCTAAGTTAACAAGAGCAAAATAGACGGGATTTATAGGCCTGCCCTGATTGCTATAAACTCTGTTATGTCTTAATTTGCAATATGCGTCCTGTCAGGGGCCTGCTAAAATAGAAAAGAAAACAAGAAATTATCTATGGTTCACGGTGTGGTCATCTTAAAACATGTTCACCAGTTCTTTGACGTGTCTGCCATCAAAAGGTGGAGTCCGTCTCCTCCCTCCGAATGCGGGCCGGTCGTGGTGACTCACTTCTGCTACGGAGTGAGGTCGGAGCGGGAGTAGGCTAGGTCCTAAAGCTGACAGAGCTTCTCCGGGCTAGTCCTCCCGGATGCTGCCCTGCAGAGCCCAGCATCGCGCTGTGAGGACGCCAAGCCGCCCTGTGGGGAGGCCACGTGTTCAGGCCCCAGTCCCACCCCCAGCCCAGGCCCCAGCTAGCCAGCAGCAGCCTCCCCACGGAAGTGAAAGGAGCCTTCTCTAAGTCCAGCACCCAGGCCCGGCGCTCCCCAGCTGACACCACGAGACACAGAGACCAGGTGTCCCACCAAACCATGCCCAAACCGCAGACTCGTAAAAACTACAAGCCGTCTTTAAGCCGCCAGGCTTCGGTGCTTTGTTACGCAGCAACAATAACTGGAACGTGTACATCAATTCGACCAGATTCAGCCATCGTCTTACTTTTTTTTAACTTCAAATCTCCCCAAGAAGACAAACCGGCAAGCGTAAAAACCCAGCTGGGCTGCATGCCTGCTCTCGGGCAACTCACCGGGCAACCTGGTGGCGGGGGTGCCAGCCGCCGTTCCCCCGGCCTGCTCCTCTCCGCTGCCGGAAACACACTCCTAGCTTTGGGAAGTTCCTTATTAAACACCTGGCTTATGAAACTGCTGCTCCTGAGACCGGTGCTCCAGGTTTTTAATCAACAAACAAGCGGACTTTGCCTGAAAGTGTCGTCCTGACTCTAGCGCTGGTAACGAGGTTCGAGATGTCCCCGTGCAGCCACCTAAATGGGTTATCAACCCATCCAAGTAACCATATCAGAAACTCACTGCCCCTCAACCGACACTAGGAAGGGAAATACCCTAATTACCTGAAATAACATTTTTTCTCTAAGAAGCACAAGCCTGAGAAGTTAAATCTAGAAGGGACCTGAGAGATACTCTACTTTAGCATTTTTTCCAACCAGTGAAAAACTGACATGATCCATGTGAGACCTTCATGACCCAAGCACTAAGAACTTTTACCTTGCTCCATCCTCACTGAAATGTCAACCCACCATAATATAATGGCAACTTGAAACTTCAGTTCCGTTCATATCTTAAAATGTACAAAATGTAATTTTGTGTATATTTTATAGCTATAGCAATAAAATGTCCTCCATATGACGATATGATGCTATTTAATATTCATCCTTAATGTTTAGAATATATGATAAATATAACAGTATGTGATAAATATAATAAAAGAAGTCCTGAGAACCCACAAAGAGTCTTCCTAAAGAAAGGTTTAAGTGGCTATTCTAGTTTTGCCATAAGAAATGTTAGCAGTCCCTGGGCGCCTGGGTAGCTCAGTTGGTTAAGCGATTGCCTTCGGCTCAGGTCATGATCCTGGAGTCCTGGGATCGAGTCCCGCATCGGGCTCCCTGCTCAGCAGGGAGTCTGCTTCTCCCTCTGACCCTCCTCCCTCTCATGCTCTCTGTCTCTCATTCTCTCTCTCTCAAATAAATGAATCAAATCTTTAAAAAAAAAAAAAAAGAAATGTTAGCAGTCCCTGCCCTAGTTCAAATCATCTGGGGAAGCTCGAGTCCAGAAAGGCCATACAACCAGCCCGAGGCCGTACAACTAGTAAGTGGCCCAACTATGACCAGAATTTTGGTATACTCATGTTTTCCAGTCCTGCACGGGGCTCAGTTGGATCTGGATTAATAAAAGGAAAACAATTATGTTAGTTTCAATTCAAAAGGCAAATAAAGTGGTTGGCTGGATACCCCCCTTCAAGGTTACATTCGTAATCCTCCTGGTGGACTATCTTCCTCCTTAACGTGAAGAAACAGAATCTCCTGGGGCGCCTGGGGCGCCTGGGTGGCTCAGGTGGTTAAGCAACTGCCTTCGGCTCAGGTCATGATCCTGGAGTCCCTGGATTGAGTCCCGCATCGGGCTCCCTGCTCAGCAAGGAGCCTGCTTCTCCCTCTGACCCTCCCCCCTCTCATGTGCTCTCTCTCTCTCATTCTCTCTGTCTCAAATAAATAAATAAAATCTTTAAAAAAAAGAAACAGAATCTCCAGCAGGGCCCCAGGCAGGGCCCGGCCCGGGCGGGAGGAATGCGGCTGGCAGTGTGGATCGGCCAGCTGAAGGCTACTCACAACTGCCTTAACTGCGGAGGCCGTCCCTCGCCTCTCCTGCAACTAGGGCTGGCCATGTGACAGAAGTCACAAACAATGAGAATACAGACAGAGACGTCACTAAGTGAGCATTTCTTCCCAAATGAAAACAGAAGTGCTGTGAGAAGACCTTTGGCCCCTGTGCCCTCTTTCTGCCAGGACTGTGTGTGTGATTCTTGGAGGTCCCGAAGCTGTCGTGGTTCCCTGGGGGGCAAAGGCCGCACGCTGAGCACTGCAAACAGTCAGACAGAAGGAACCAGCCCTCTGAGGCCGCAGGAGAGCCATCACTCCAGCCCTGGACTATCTACCCTCCAGCTTCCTGTTGAGAGAAATTCAAAACTCCGCAGTTGGTTTTTGGTTACCTGCAGCTAAACACAACCCTAACTCCTGTGCAAAATAAATCTGGCTTTCCTCTTCCGTCCACTTTGCCCCAAAGTGGTGTGTCCATCTGTGTTATTTCTACACAGCTAAATTTGGTGAACAAACATTTCGTCACCTGCACCATCACCCCAGCTCCTACCAAGCACCCCACCATTATTTTGAAACAGCAGTAAACGGGAATGAGGCACACCTCTTTTCTCCAAGAGGAAGACAGTTAGCTTACAAAGGTCTCCTGCAGCAGATGGTGGGCAGAGGGCTGCCCTGGGCGGCAGATGAAAGACAGATGGTTTTCCTCCTTATAAACCGCAGAGCCTCAGCCCTGGACAGCACGTGGAGATCCAGAAACCATTGCTTGTCAAGTCCCCAGCCTCTACTGGGGAAAGACTGCCAACACTGGCCTTAGTTGGAGGAAACAGGACAAAAACCTTTCACTCTACAAACGCCTTCTCTTTCACTTGAGTATCGACCTTAGAGATCTTCTGCCTTCCCTTCCGTTTAAGAAACAAAGTGGACCGAGTCTGAGCAAAACAGTAATCTTATAACCAAAACTAGAGTGTTTTCCATTCTTCGTTCCCACGTCCTTCCTGATAAAGTGTTTTGTTGGCCATGGTAGCTCAGAGTTCTATCAACTGTCAAGGTTCAATGGCATTTTTTAAAGGAATGGAAGAGAATGGGTAACACTGATGAAAAGCTAGGAATTCTACTAATTCCATGGCCCTCCACCAAAAAAAAAAAGAAAAGAAAAAGAATTATAAACTAAAGAAAAGAATGGATCTCTGTGAGGGAGTGGCAAAATGCTTAGGCAAATTTCTTGGACTCAGGTTCACAAAATCCAAACAAATCATTAGCTGTTCTGGACCAGTAGTCTAGACCATTTCTCGAAAACAAAGAGAATTCCCAGCCAAGCAATCACCCAAGAAATAGCTTTAGAGCTGACAAGCACCCTAAGGGTTCAGAAACCAGCGGTTTAGGGGATATGACATCCCATAGCACACACGGGTTCCTGTGATGCTCCAAACGAAATTCCTCAATCTGAGACTTCCGGGTTGCATTAAGGACCTCAAAAAGTGAATTCTGCACACAGAAGCAGAAGCCAATAAACATCATGGGGTTGACAAACAGCATTTGTGGATGTAAGCTGATTACTGTTCATAAAGCAACATTCAATGGATTAAAAATACTGCAAGAAATCACATCAGAATAGTTTCTAATAATTTAGAACCAGAAGTGTCTCACTCATCAGACTTTTATGTGAGCAAGAATTCCCCTTCTTGCTCCCAACCAAATGGAACCCCCACGTAAAACAGAGCACTCGCAAATGACTTAAGCAGCACTTTTTAAAACAGAACTACCGTAACTCACAGCCAGTCACCGATCCACATGCTGATTGCTCAAAGGTGGTACGTTAAAGTCTAAGGACACCAGAAAAAAAATAACCACACTAAAACAGAGATCAAAGTCATTTCCTTCCAAGAGTTTACTAAGTCTGGGTGACGTGTTGGGTGAGCTCTGAGAACGGAGTGCAGGGACAGAGATACGGGGCACAGGGCCTCCTTACCTAGCACATTTCCTGGAGGTACCTCCTCCAGGCCTTCCAGCTCCCTGCCCATCAGAAGATACAGGTTTTCTAGGGTGCAGCACGCCATGTGGGGGACCAGGGGAAGGTCATCGAGTGGAGCGGAGAAGCCTAATGGCACCTGGGCGAAGAAAAACGGTGGAAGAGAAGTTAGGAGGCATTGACTACAGACATCACTTAGAACCTATACAGTTATTCCTATTCAGAGGTGAGATGATACAGTCACACTTCATGTAAACCTGAAATATGGAAACTTGAAATGGTATGAAATAAAATATGAAGTAGTGAAACTTCTCAAATACTGAAAAACTGTCAAGAATTCAACAGTCATAAGCCTTACGGCTCAGGAATATGAATCCGCTGTGACCTGTACGACCACATTAGCCAAGAAACACACATCCCCACAGCCTCCTGCCAGTATTTATGTGAACCATGCCACACACCAGTTTTGGTGGCAACTGTGCTATGATTATTACTATCCTCACTTAAAATTGTTTTAATCTTATTATAACGCCCTTGGAGCTTTCGGCAAGAACAGGTGCTAGTGCTGAGCTACACATAAAAATAACTTTGGAAGAGTAGTCAGATGTGATAAAAATGGCGTGAAAATGGCCAAGCCACAGCTATTATACGCTAATGTTGGTAATCTGGAAGGGAGCACGCTGTGAAATGCTGGGGACACTGACGAGAAGACCGAGCACAAACACAGCAAAAATCTGCTGCCAGGATAACAGGTTTATGAGCTCACCTCCTGTCATATTCATTCTTATGGACATACCGTCTCAAAGTATGTATGTTTTGTCAAGAATTATTCAAGACGTTGAAAAGTATTCAAGATATTGCCTTGAATTATTCAGCAACCTCCATATAAGTGCAAGTGCCCTGAAAGCCTTTCAATCAAACAACTTGTTTTGGGGGCCTCTGGGTCCAAGGCACTACGGTACCGCTATCTGTGAAGTGGAAAAACGTGAAGTTACAGCACATATAAACATAACTAACGTCACAGAGTGAGTGACCAAAAAGCACTAGAGGCAGGTAAATTCATGAAGGCCCGGAGGAGGGAGAAGCTACTGTGTTGGGGGGACTTGGAGACCCCATGAGAACGTTGGCCTTGCAAGCACATGCCACGTTTAAACGTGCATGGTCTGACCCGGTGACTACTCCGCAGGGGTAGCTCGAAAGACACACTGGAAAGACACACAAAACAGAAGGATGAGACGGGGAGAAACCAAATTATCCACAGATAATATGAGCATCCACTCAAACCACACGTGAACTGTAATTAGAGAGATAGTTTAGCAAGGTGGCTAAACACAAGGACAGTATACAACAGTTAACTGTCTACATCAGCAAGAGAAAGAAAATATTTTTTGAACAGTAACTTTTGGAGTAGCAACAAAATATAAGACAGCTAGGGACAGGTCTGACAAAAGTGATTAAAATGGAGGAAATTATAAAACTTTAATGAAAAACACTGAAAATAACCTAAATAGATATGCCTAATAGATTCATAGATGCTATATTGCAAAATGTCGATTCACACCAAATACATGGGCCGATTTAAAGCAATCAGAGTCTCAATGGAGCTTTTCCTGGAACCTGACAAGGGGACTAAAAACTTACATGGAAGAGTAAAGAGGAGTAAGCAAGGCACTCACCAAAAAAAAAAAAAAAAAAAAGGGTAGAGGACATGGCCTTTTAAATACCAAAATATTTAGAAGTCAGCACTGAATAGAGACAGTGATAGAGAAACAGAAAAAATGAAGTCTAACAGTCGAGGAACAGACCAATTCACATATGAATTCTGATTTCTGACAGAGCTGGCAGGGCAGTGGGTAGAAATGGGAGTATTCACTGAATGATGCTGGAACAACCGGTATTTGTATGGGGGACGAAAATAAGATTGGATCCCTTCTTTCGTATCATGTATAAACATTGAATTAAACATTTAAACATAGAAAGGCAAAACTTTAAACTTTAGAAGGAAACATAGGTGAAAATTTTGCCTTTGTAACAGTCATAATTTTAATTTTCTTAAATGAGATACAAAAGGCAAAACCCATAATGGAAAAGACTGATAAATTCAACTACATTAAAATTAAGAACTTCTGTACATTAAAAGATACTAAATAGAAAATGTGACAAGTCCCAAACTAGAGAAGAGAATCTGCAAAACTTAAAAGTGACAAAGAATTAGTATCCAGGTTATACAAAGAACATCTAAAAACCCGTATGAAAAAATATGTGTATATGGTACAAGTCAAAAATAGGCAAATGACCCAAAGATATCATCATAGGAAAAGACATGAATGACCAATAAGCATATTAAAAGAGTAATAAAGAAAAAGTGAAATAAAACCTCTTGAAAAGACCATACCATATGCATCTGATTGGCAAAAATTAAACTCCTGACCATAACAAACTCTGGTGAGGATGCAGAACACTGGACTGTTAGGGACCCCTGCTGGGAGTGTGAAGGAAAACTACTTGGAGGACAGTCTGGAACTGACCAGTAAGCCGAAGATACACACACTCTATTACCCAGACAATTCCACTAAGGGTGGATTACCTAGAATTTCGTGCAAATGTGCACAAGGAAATATGTACAAAAGTATTCAAGATAGCATTGTTTAGATTAGCAGAAAATGAAAGGACCCAAATACATAATAACAGGAAAATGGAAAAATAAAATGCTTGTTTACATAACAGAATACTATGCAGCAACAAACAATGAAAGCACAGAAATAGACATCAATGTAGATTAATCTCACAATGTTAGGTAAAAACAGTGAGTTGTAGAAGAATAACTACAGGAAGATTCCATTAATACCAAGTTCAAAAATAATACAGCCTTCCACAGTGCGTATATAAGTGGTAAAACAGACTAAAGGTAGCCCCCCCATAGCTTCTGCTTCCTGTTCATGCCTTCACGCAATCCCCTCCCCCTGGGCGTGAGGGGGGCCCGTAGCTTGCTTCTCATCAATGGCATACAGCAAAGGCGGCGGGATGTCACTCGCATGATTACGGAACATCACGCAAGACTGTCTTGCAAATACATTCAGCCTGGACCCTCCTTGCTGGCCTGAAAGAGTGCAGCCAAGCTGGGAAGGTCCACAGGACAGGAAAGCACAGGCTGCTTCTAGGAGCTGAGGGCGGCCGACAGCCGGAAAGAATGTGGAGCCCTCAGCCCCACAGGTACCAGGATATGAATCCTGACAACAACCTAAGTGAACCTGGAGACAGATCCTTTCCCAAAGGAGCCTCCAGAAGGCACACAACCTGGTCAACACTGGTTGCAGCTTTGTGAGACACCAGGCAGGACCCGCTAAGCCATGCTTGGGGCTCCCAGTCCACAGAAACTGTGAGATGATACAATGTGTATCATTTTCGTTGGCTAAATTTGTAGTAGTAGGTAATATGCAGCAACAAAAAAGTAACCTAAGGGATGAACACGCAAGTCCAGTAAGGTTTATGTCTGGGGTATGTGTAATATAGTCCCCTTGTTTTTAAAGCATGTTGGAATTAGATTTTATGGGACCCCGACTGCTGGAGGATGGAGTCATCTGCACCATCAATTCATTTCATCGCTGCTCCTCGAGTCTTGACACACGAGAAGTGATTTCAACCTCTAGCCCCACGAGAGCAAAGATATGCTACGTAAAGAAGGTAAGTTGGAATGCTCGTGGAATTTGTAATGCCCAATAAATCAGTACTACGTTAAGTAACAATTTCTTACTCATCTTGACAGTTGAGAGAACAAAAAAGAAAAAAAATTAGCCACCACTTGACCCTTCCCGATAAATAACAAACTATCAGCCATGTCTAAACCAAGATGTTAAGATGTGCATAACTGGGTTTATACATGCCATCACAGCCCCCAGAAAATAGAGCCCCAGGCACAACTGCCATGTGCCCTCCTGCCGAAGCAGAACACGCCACAGCCCACCACGGGCGGCGGGGCCACCAGCCAGCAGCATGATCTCCGAGGATTAAACTGCTAAAACTGGAGGAACAAACATTCAAGGCAAGTTGATGGAGGGCCCTCTCCAACCACGCCCTGCCCCGTCACTTGCCGCCAAGTCCAGCAGCTTCTCTGGTTTCCCTGCAAGGACAGGAGCTCGTGCTCTCCTGCTCGGGACACAGCATGTCTTCCAAGTTCTTACTCACAGCTTCTTGCTGATTGTGACTCACTCCCTGGACTTCTGGCACCTCCATCATCCAATGACCATTGTCATGTAACTATTACGTACATACCTTGCCTATGTCCCAACATGCTGAGGTAGCTGCAGCCTGTGGTTTCTTTCTTGCCCTTTGGCTCAGGTGTATTTAGATGCTGGCTGTTCACCTGCTTCCAGACCTTCCTGATCGATTTCTGGGATCCACCTACCATGCAACTGTGGCCTGTCACCTGCTCTCTGCCCAGGCCTTTGGCCTGTGCCACCCAGTTTTTGGATCTCCGTATTTCCTGAAGATCTGCCATTGCCCTGGCTCCAGCATGGCAGCTCTTCCTACCAGTTCTTTTCTCTGGCCTTGAAAAGCCTTGTAATTAATTAGATAAGGCCTGAAAACTGAGTTCATATACTGGTTTAGTTTTCCAAATGCTACTAAGTGAGACAGATTTACCAAATGTCCCCAAAGCAACATAAGAGGAGGTACATGGAGTCATCTGAATGTGCCTATCTAGTGACAAAATAAATCTACCAGTAAGGTAAATCTCAATCAATCTGAAAAGATGTAAGAACCTTGGAACGATATACTAATGTTTTACTTCCAATTCTTACCCGCCGCAAAAACTCAACAGGACTGTATTTGGGCCCCAGGACAAAAATTTTCTTTCCTCTTCGAGCCACACCACTGAACACGCGAGCAAATGCAATAAAAGACTCTTGGTTGTTTCCTTCCTGGGGCAGAGATTTAAGGGCCATACTCTCCACCTGATGCTCATCACCTGCTGGAAACAAAAGGATAATCAGTGCCAACAACGCTCTCTCTAATCCAGGATGCACCTAGAAATAGAAGGAACAGTGAATATGATCCATTTGGCCCAGTTTTAGGGAAGAAACACCAAGAGCGACGGAATACTGATAAAAGCTACGCTTAGAGGCAAGCTCAAGAGCTAGAGGAAGTGTCCTAAGCTAAGTGAATGCCCAATAAATCAGTACTGTGCACCAAAACCCAGTTAGGAAAGCTGTACCTTTGGTCTCCTCTCCCTTTGGACTTGTGTCAAGGGCACTCCCGTCCCGGGTGAGCTCCGTGCGTGCCTGCCCCTGCGTTGCTGCGAGCTTCTCTGCATGCCTCTGTCTTGCACGCTCTCGCCTCTGAGCAATTTCTTCCTGAGTGAGAGGTCTACAGGAGATCACAGATATGTTTACTTCTGGCAACATCAAGCATCTCTCAGTCGTTGGAGCAGGGAAACGACAACGATTAATGTGGCTGGATAAGACAATGATGGGTCCCAGGTCCCTTCCAGGCTTTCTCTAGAATGCTCTGTCCCCAGGTATTCTGAGCTTCTGGAGCGGCATAAGAGAGCCCATGTCCCCAAAGAGAGCCATCTACAACAGCATGGAGCCTTTCTGGAATGCCCACATTCCTTCTGGATGAGGCGACCAAAAGGGAAGGGAGGGAAACGAGTGGCCGATACCAGGGCACAGAGCAGCCCCGTGGAGAAGAAAGCATAAGACCTCAATAGGAAATGGAGGTTTTCTCCACAAGCACAAACATATATCTTCATGAAGACCCGGGGTCCAAGAGGAAGGGTTCAAGGTCAGGCTGAATGATGGCGACTCAGTGGGAGTGAAAGGTCACATGGTGTTAGACCCCAGCACCACCACAGAAAAGGCAGAGTGTGGGTGTGTCTGTGTGTTTGCTGGGGGGTTAGTCTTGGTTGGAGTGGGGTAGGGGATTCAGCCGTTCTTCCTAAACAGTTATCCTCAAGGGGTGGAGCAAGATGGCGGAGGAGTAGGAGACCTGGACTTCGTCTCCTCTCAGGAATTCAGCTGGATAGGGATCAAACCAATATGAACACCTACGAACTCAACAGGAGATCGAAGAAAAGAATAGCAACAACTCTCTGAACAGAAAAGAGACCACTTTCTGGAAGGTAGGAC